TAAGAAAGACTGAACATTTCATGGCTTGTAGATGAGACAACGAGCCATTCCATACTGAATGGACCATTGAGAAAATCTCGAGGCAAAAATTGACCTGACCTGATCCTGAAAAAGAAAAGTGAAAAGATGAATGAGAAAAGCATCAATAAAACTAGTAAACCCTCAAAGCTCACAGAACTGGATGAATAGCTAAATAATTCAGCTTCTAGAGAACTGCCACAATTCTTTGCCTGGTACTGTATATTTTCTAACATAAAAGAGATTTCGTTGAAATGCACAGACCAAAGAATTGAATGTACGGTAAGCTGGCACCTAATAGGGAGTCGGTCCCTCCTCTGTGCTTAGAACAGTCTGTATTTGCTGTATTTGAGTTTTGAAAGTGTCAGGGACACTGGACCATGCGGACTTCAGCGCTTCCCAAAGGTTAGCGAATTAGCATGTAGCGGATTTCGACTCCCGGGGGCTCGTTCCATCTCACACTTCAGATGACTGATTGGACTGAGATCTGGTGACTGAGCAGAGGCCACCGCTGTAGGCTGAATTCACTGTCATGATCCATGTCTGGACAACCCTTCATCTTATGGCATAGAGCAGGAGTTTCAAACTTAAATTACCTTGGGACCACAGATGGTATCGTCTTCTCATAGGAAGGCCACTTCAACATTCAAGTATTACAAAAAAGTGCAATATTTCTTAAAATGATTTTTTTATTACATTATCTAGCAAACTGCACAATTGAATATCAACATAAGAGAAATACATGTGGAGGAAAAAAAAGGGTAAATAGCACATAAAACAAACAATAAAAGCATCAAACTGACCTGAACACATAGAAGTTCTGAAGAAAACCAGGTTTCCTCAATATATTCAGTTCAGTTTTATCCTTTTTATTGTTTGATTGTTTGACCAGGGTTGGTTTTCTTTGGTTTGCTTGTGGTTTAATATTACAGCGAAGCACTATCATATTCTCCACTGGAAAAAAAATACAAGGAAAATACATATTTTGCAAAGAGGTATGTTTTATAAGGTCTAAATTAGAAGTATTAGTGTTTAATGTCTTTAGTAAAATTATACTGCAATGTAGCGGTGGACCTAAATGCGTACACACAAAGCAAATGACTGGTCACTCCTGAATACTAGCCAGGGTGCAAATTTACTGACTCAAACATAAGCAGTAAATGTAAATTCTTCTGTAAGTTCCTCTGAGGTAAACTTGTGTATAGCTGCGAGTGATTTGATTTGCCAAGATTCTAAACTTTAGGTCATTTCTGTGTTACTACAGCAACAGATGCTACGTCAGCTGCTCCGATCCCATTGTTGCGTCAGGCTGGATCAAATTTCCCGGGCAGAAAAAACTTGGGATGAATTTGGCCGCTGTTTTGCACATATCTAGATTATTCTTGTATTAGGGGAGATTGTGGTGTTCTTGCTGTGGCTGGACTGGGGCTTGGGCCACCAACCTCAGGGGTCCCAGTCATGTAGCTTAGCCACTAGACGACAGGCTGCCCCTTAGCCTTTTGTGCAGGTGTCCTTGACACATGTCCACTTCCTTTTCAGTCGATGTGCAAAGCGCCACCAAGCAGTCTGGTGGCGCTTTGCAGTCCGCAGTCCGTCAGCATTGTGGATTTTTTTTGTCCGCCTCTGTCTTAGGTGTCCACATCTCTGATTCTTTTAGGAGGACCAACACCACAACAGCCCTACTTGCCTGCTAAAATGCATCTGGATGGGAAAACCGAAGGAAAAGGAAGCACCAAAGTGGGGGTTTCATGGCTCGTTGGTCTAGGGGTATGATTCTCGCTTTGGGTGTGAGAGGTCCCGGGTTCAAATCCCGGACGAGCCCACATGCTTGTAGAGGTTGTTGTCCTTGGGGGTCAGGCAGCGCTGCTAATGGATCCATCTCATGGTTTCTCCATTAGTACATTTGGCTCATGCTGAGGGGAAATCTTGGGTGTGTTCCAATACCCCTGTTCCTCTAGATTTTCAGCACAACACATTGATCTCATTTACTCCCTTTCAAATCATTTCTGACAACTTTTTCTCACATGGGTGGATCATGTACCTGATTTACTACAATTTAAAGTAAAAACATGACATGAAAGTAAAAACATGACTTTTCAGTCAAGTCATTTTTTCTCACTTTTGAGGTTAGGGTTTATAGGGTTAGGGTTGAGGTTTCAAGATTTAGGGGTAGGAGATGTTCAGTTGTGGGGGACTGTAGGAAAGGAGGAGGGTAGCAAACGTATTGAAAGGTTTCTCCTCAACATGAGGCAAATGTCCTGAAGGAGTGATTGAGAGAGGGGCCCATTGGAGGCTGTGCCGAACCCCCTACATGCTTTGGCTGTAGACGAGGTGACCGAGTGGTTAAGGTGATGGACTGCTAATCCATTGTGCTTTGCACGCGTGGGTTCGAATCCCATCCTCGTCGGGTGCGATCTCTGTTCTTCAGATTTTGCATGCAGTAAACGCCATCCGGTAAGCGTGGTGGAAACGCATAAAAAATAATGTGTTTTGTCACTCTCCTTGATGTGGTACTAGCACTTGCCAGGGAAGTCCTTGAGAGTGATGAAAAACAGGTCCAGCTGAGGGTGGCAATAGTGGGATTTGAACCCACACCCCCAAAGAGACTGGTACCTAATAGCAGCACCTTGGACCTCTCAGCCACACTACCAACAAGAAAAGACCATTATTCCTAAAACACGGTTACCTTTGATTGACATCTGACTCTACAAATTTCCAGACTGCAGTCTCCTGCAGTTCATGGAAGGGCCTTCCCTGTTTTATGGACCCTTTCTGATGAGTGTAGATGGACCGGTGGAAGAAGAACTCTTCCCAGATGTTTTCTTGTGACTTGTTGGCCTCTAGGATACGTGTAGCCTTCCACTCATGTGTCCTTGACACATGTCCATTTCCTTTTCAGTCGATGCAGAAAGCGTCGCCAAGCAGCCAGCCAGCATCTTGGATTTTTTGTTCCACCTCTGTCCTAGGCTTGTCTGACTTTCCTGGGAGGACCAACACCACCACAGTCCTACTTGCCGGCTCAAATGCATCTGGATAGGAACACCGAAGGAAAAGGAGGCACCAAAGTGGTGATTTCATGGCTCGTTGGTCTAGGGGTATGATTCTCGCTTTGGGTGTGAGAGGTCCCGGGTTCAAATCCCGGACGAGCCCACATGCTTGCAGAGGTTGTTGGCATTGTCGGTCAGGCACAGCTGCCAATGGACCCATCACACAGTTGCTCCTTTAGTACATTTGCCTCATGCTGAGTTGAAATCTTGGGTGCGTTCCAATACCCCCTCCCCACTCCCCCATCACCCACCCAGAGGCACGTGGAGGAAAGGTGGAGTCGCCACGAAAACTGCACCAGCCAATCCGTTTCTCCTGTCATCAAAATTGACGTCCCTGACCGATACCGAAGATATCTAAGCCAATCACAATTGTCATCCATCGCCAGCCTTTTCCATGCATTAAAATATAAATGTTAGTTACTCTCATTGTGCTGTTTGGAGTCATGATTTGACATAAACTTATGTACAAAGAAATCACTAAAACCTGCTGCCCTTTCAAATAATTTCTTGCAACTTTTTCTTGCATTGGGTGGATAATATAGCTGATTTACTATGACAAAGTAAAAAAAAAAGAATATTCTAATATTCTAAAATCTAATATTTTTCTGTCAACCCATTTTTTTTCAATTTTGTAGGTAAGACTATGACGAGGTGACCGAGTGGTTAAGGTGATGGACTGCTAATCTATTGTGCTTTGCACGCGTGGGTTCGAATCCCATCCTCGTCGGATGTCCTTTCTGTTCTCCAGTTTTTGCATGCAGTAAACGCAACTCAAAACTCAAATGCATCTGGATGGGAACACCGAAGGAAAAGGAGGTACTGAAGAGATGATTTCATGGCTCGTTGGTCTAGGGGTATGATTCTCGCTTTGGGTGCGAGAGGTCCCGGGTTCAAATCCCGGACGAGCCCACATGCTTGCGGAAGTTGTTGGCCTTGGCGGTCAGGCACAGCTGTCAATGGACCCATCGCAGAGTTACTCCTTTAGTACATTTGCCTCATGCTGAGTTGAAATCTTGGGTGCGTTCCAATACCCCCGCCCCCCTCCCCACTCCCCCATCACCCACCCAGAAGCATGTGGAGGAAAGGAGGAGTCGCCACGAAAACTGCACCAGCCAATCCATTTCTCCTGTCATCAAAATTGACGTTCCCAACCGATACCGAAGATATCTAAGCCAATCACAGTTGTCATCCATCCCCAGCCTTTTTCATGCATTAAAATCTAAATGTTAGTTTCTCTCATTGTGCTGTTTGGAGTCAGGATTTGACATAAACTTATGCACAAAGAATTCACTAAAACCTGATTTACTCTCACAAAGTAAAAAAATTGAATATTCTAAAAATTATATTCTAATATTCTAAAATCAAATATTTTTCTGTCAACCCCATTTTTTTCAATTTTGGAGGTAGGACTATGACGAGGTGACCGAGTGGTGAAGGTGATGGACTGCTAATCCATTGTGCTTTGCACGCGTGGGTTCGAATCCCATCCTCGTCGGGTGTGCTCTCTGTTCTCCAGTTTTTGCATGCAGTAAACGCCATCCGGTAAGCATGGTGGAAAAGCATAAGCAGACACCCATCCTGAGTTGACGATCCATGCCTCCTCCACACCCTTCTCCCTCACAGCGCCCCCATTGAGTAAAGTCATTGAAGTTCTTGCCTTAAACAGCAGCTCTGTTAACTTTTGGGGAGGGCTATGTTGCTGCACAAGGATTATGGTGCCTGAGGTCAAATCCAATGTGTTTCAGGTGGCAAAGTCAAAGTTTTAAGCTCCTCCCAAGAGAAAAAGTCACATTTAATGCCATGTGTCCCACCGTCAGCAACTGCTGACAAAGTCACCATTGAGAGGCAGGCGTTGTTTTGTCTCTCTCCTTGATGTGGTACTAGCACTTGCCAGGGAAGTCCTTGAGAGTGATGAAAAACAGGTCCAGCTGAGGGTGGCAATAGTGGGATTTGAACCCACACCCCCCAAAAAGACTGGTACTTAAAATCCAGCACCTTGGACCTCTCGGCCACACTACCAACAAGAAAAGGCCATAATTCCTCAAACATGGTTACCTGTGATTTACATTTCCTATTCAGTCGATGTGGAAAGCGTCGCCAAGCAGCCCGCCAGCATCTTGGATTTTGTTCCGCCTCTGTCCTAGGCGTCTACATGTCTGACTTTCCTGGGAGGACCAACACCACCACAGTCCTACTTGCCTGCTCAAATGCATCTGGATGGGAACACCGAAGGAAAAGGAGGCACTGAAAAGATGATTTCATGGCTCGTTGGTCTAGGGGTATGATTCTCGCTTTGGGTGCGAGAGGTCCCGGGTTCAAATCCCGGACGAGCCCACATGCTTGCGGAAGTTGTTGGCCTTGGCGGTCAGGCACAGCTGCCAATGGACCCATCACACAGTTGCTCCTTTAGTACATTTGCCTCATGCTGAGTTGAAATCTTGGGTGCGTTCCAATACCCCCTCCCCACTCCCCCCCACCCCCCATCACCCACCCAGAAGCACGTGGAGGAAAGGTGGAGTCGCCACGAAAACTGCACCAGCCAATCCGTTTCTCCTGTCATCAAAATTGACGTCCCTGACCGATACCGAAGATATCTAAGCCAATCACAATTGTCATCCATCGCCAGCCTTTTCCATGCATTAAAATATAAATGTTAGTTACTCTCATTGTGCTGTTTGGAGTCATGATTTGACATAAACTTATGTACAAAGAAATCACTAAAACCTGCTGCCCTTTCAAATAATTTCTTGCAACTTTTTCTTGCGTGGGTGGATAATATAGCTGATTTACTATGACAAAGTAAAAAAAAAAGAATATTCTAATATTCTAAAATCTAATATTTTTCTGTCAACCCATTTTTTTTCAATTTTGTAGGTAAGACTATGACGAGGTGACCGAGTGGTTAAGGTGATGGACTGCTAATCTATTGTGCTTTGCACGCGTGGGTTCGAATCCCATCCTCGTCGGATGTCCTTTCTGTTCTCCAGTTTTTGCATGCAGTAAAACGCAACTCAAAACTCAAATGCATCTGGATGGGAACACCGAAGAGGAAAGGAGGTACTGAAGAGATGATTTCATGGCTCGTTGGTCTAGGGGTATGATTCTCGCTTTGGGTGCGAGAGGTCCCGGGTTCAAATCCCGGACGGCCCACATGCTTGCGGAAGTTGTTGGCCTTGGCGGTCAGGCACAGCTGTCAATGGACCCATCGCAGAGTTACTCCTTTAGTACATTTGCCTCATGCTGAGTTGAAATCTTGGGTGCGTTCCAATACCCCCGCCCCCTGCCCACTCCCCATCACCCACCCAGAAGCATGTGGAGGAAAGGAGGAGTCGCCACGAAAACTGCACCAGCCAATCCATTTCTCCTGTCATCAAAATTGAGCGTTCCCAACCGATACCGAAGATATCTAAGCCAATCACAGTTGTCATCCATCCCCAGCCTTTTTCATGCATTAAAATCTAAATGTTAGTTTCTCTCATTGTGCTGTTTGGAGTCAGGATTTGACATAAACTTATGCACAAAGAATTCACTAAAACCTGATTTACTCTCACAAAGTAAAAAAATTGAATATTCTAAAAATTATATTCTAATATTCTAAAATCAAATATTTTTCTGTCAACCCCATTTTTTTCAATTTTGGAGGTAGGACTATGACGAGGTGACCGAGTGGTGAAGGTGATGGACTGCTAATCCATTGTGCTTTGCACGCGTGGGTTCGAATCCCATCCTCGTCGGGTGTGCTCTCTGTTCTCCAGTTTTTGCATGCAGTAAACGCCATCCGGTAAGCATGGTGGAAAAGCATAAGCAGACACCCATCCTGAGTTGACGATCCATGCCTCCTCCACACCCTTCTCCCCTCACAGCGCCCCATTGAGTAAAGTCATTGAAGTTCTTGCCTTAAACAGCAGCTCTGTTAACTTTTGGGGAGGGCTATGTTGCTGCACAAGGATTATGGTGCCTGAGGTCAAATCCAATGTGTTTCAGGTGGCAAAGTCAAAGTTTTAAGCTCCTCCCAAGAGAAAAAGTCACATTTAATGCCATGTGTCCCACCGTCAGCAACTGCTGACAAAGTCACCATTGAGAGACGGCGTTGTTTGTCTCTCTCCTTGATGTGGTACTAGCACTTGCCAGGGAAGTCCTTGAGAGTGATGAAAAACAGGTCCAGCTGAGGGTGGCAATAGTGGGATTTGAACCCACACCCCCCAAAAAGACTGGTACTTAAAATCCAGCACCTTGGACCTCTCGGCCACACTACCAACAAGAAAAGACCATTATTCCTCAAACACGGTTACCTGTGATTGACATCTGACTCAACAAATTTCCAGAGTGCAGTCTCCTTCAGTTCATGGAAGGGCCTTCCCTGTTTTATGGACCCTTTCTCATGAGTGTAGATGGACCGGTGGAAGAAGAACTCTTCCCAGATGTTTTCTTGTGACTTGTTGGCCTCTAGGATCCGTGTAGCTTTCCACTCATGTGTCCTTGACACATGTCCATTTCCTTTTCAGTCGATGCAGAAAGCGTCGACAAGCAGCCCGCCAGCATCTTGGATCTTTTGTTCCGCCTCTGTCCTAGGCGTCTAAATGTCTGACTTTCCTGGGAGGACCAACACACCACAGTCCTACTTGCCGGCTCAAATGCATTTGGATAGGAACACCGAAGGAAAAGGAGGCACCAAAGGGAGGGTTTCGTGGCTCGTTGGTCTAGGGCTATGATTCTCCTTTGGGTGTGAGAGGTCCCGGTTCAAATCCCCGGACAAGCCCACGTTCTTGTGGTGGTTGTTGGCCTTGTCTGTCAGGCAGAGCTGCCAATGGACCAATCGCACAGTTACTCCTTTAGTACATTTGCCTCATGCTGAGTTGAAATCTTGGGTGCATTCCAATACCCCCACCACCCCCATCACCCACCCAGAAGCATGTGGAGGAAAGGAGGAGTCGCCAAAAACTGCACCAGCCAATCCGTTTCTCCTGTCATCAAAATTGATGTCCCTGACCGATACCGAAGATATCTAAGCCAATCACAATTGTCATCCATCGCCAGCATTTCCATGCATTAAAATATAAATGTTAGTTTCTCTCATTGTGCTGTTTGAGTCATGATTTGACATAAACTTATGTACAAAGAAATCACTAAAACCTGCTGCCCTTTCAAATAATTTCTTGCAACTTTTTCTTGCGTGGGTGGATAATATAGCTGATTTACTATGACAAAGTAAAAAAAAAAGAATATTCTAATATTCTAAAATCTAATATTTTTCTGTCAACCCATTTTTTTCAATTTTAGAGGTAAGACTATGACGAGGTGACCAGTGGTTAAGGTGATGGACTGCTAATCCGTTGTGCTTTGCAGCGTGGTTCGAATCCCATCCTCGTCGGATGTCCTTTCTGTTCTCCAGTTTTTGCATGCAGTAAACGCCATCCGGTAAGCATGGTGGAAAAGCATAAGCAGACACCCATCCTGAGCTGACGATCCATGCCTCCTCACACCCTTCTCCCTCACAGCGCCCCATTGAGTAAAGTCATTGCGGTTCTTGCCTTAAACAGCAGCTCTGTTAACTTTTTGGGAGGGCTATGTTGCTGCACAAGGATTATGGTGCCTAAGGTCAAATCTTATATGTTTCAGGTGGCAAAGTCAAGTTTTAAGCTCCTCCCAAGAGAAAAGTCACACTCAAATGCATCTGGATGGGAACACCGAAGGAAAAGGAGGTACTGAAGAGATGATTTCATGGCTCGTTGGTCTAGGGGTATGATTCTCGCTTTGGGTGCGAGAGGTCCCGGGTTCAAATCCCGGACGAGCCCACATGCTTGCGGAAGTTGTTGGCCTTGGCGGTCAGGCACAGCTGTCAATGGACCCATCGCAGAGTTACTCCTTTAGTACATTTGCCTCATGCTGAGTTGAAATCTTGGGTGCGTTCCAATACCCCCGGCCCCCTCCCCACTCCCCCATCACCCACCCAGAAGCATGTGGAGGAAAGGAGGAGTCGCCACGAAAACTGCACCAGCCAATCCATTTCTCCTGTCATCAAAATTGACGTTCCCAACCGATACCGAAGATATCTAAGCCAATCACAGTTGTCATCCATCCCCAGCCTTTTTCATGCATTAAAATCTAAATGTTAGTTTCTCTCATTGTGCTGTTTGGAGTCAGGATTTGACATAAACTTATGCACAAAGAATTCACTAAAACCTGATTTACTCTCACAAAGTAAAAAAATTGAATATTCTAAAAATTATATTCTAATATTCTAAAATCAAATATTTTTCTGTCAACCCCATTTTTTTCAATTTTGGAGGTAGGACTATGACGAGGTGACCGAGTGGTGAAGGTGATGGACTGCTAATCCATTGTGCTTTGCACGCGTGGGTTCAAATCCCATCCTCGTCGGGTGTGCTCTCTGTTCTCCAGTTTTTGCATGCAGTAAACGCCATCCGGTAAGCATGGTGGAAAAGCATAAGCAGACACCCATCCTGAGTTGACGATCCATGCCTCCTCCACACCCTTCTCCCCTCACAGCGCCCCATTGAGTAAAGTCATTGAAGTTCTTGCCTTAAACAGCAGCTCTGTTAACTTTTGGGGAGGGCTATGTTGCTGCACAAGGATTATGGTGCCTGAGGTCAAATCCAATGTGTTTCAGGTGGCAAAGTCAAAGTTTTAAGCTCCTCCCAAGAGAAAAAGTCACATTTAATGCCATGTGTCCCACCGTCAGCAACTGCTGACAAAGTCACCATTGAGAGACGGGCGTTGTTTTGTCTCTCTCCTTGATGTGGTACTAGCACTTGCCAGGGAAGTCCTTGAGAGTGATGAAAAACAGGTCCAGCTGAGGGTGGCAATAGTGGGATTTGAACCCACACCCCCCAAAAAGACTGGTACTTAAAATCCAGCACCTTGGACCTCTCGGCCACACTACCAACAAGAAAAGACCATTATTCCTCAAACACGGTTACCTGTGATTGACATCTGACTCAACAAATTTCCAGAGTGCAGTCTCCTTCAGTTCATGGAAGGGCCTTCCCTGTTTTATGGACCCTTTCTCATGAGTGTAGATGGACCGGTGGAAGAAGAACTCTTCCCAGATGTTTTCTTGTGACTTGTTGGCCTCTAGGATCCGTGTAGCTTTCCACTCATGTGTCCTTGACACATGTCCATTTCCTTTTCAGTCGATGCAGAAAGCGTCGACAAGCAGCCCGCCAGCATCTTGGATCTTTTGTTCCGCCTCTGTCCTAGGCGTCTAAATGTCTGACTTTCCTGGGAGGACCAACACCACCACAGTCCTACTTGCCGGCTCAAATGCATTTGGATAGGAACACCGAAGGAAAAGGAGGCACCAAAGGGAGGGTTTCGTGGCTCGTTGGTCTAGGGCTATGATTCTCGCTTTGGGTGTGAGAGGTCCCGGGTTCAAATCCCGGACAAGCCCACATTCTTGTGGTGGTTGTTGGCCTTGTCTGTCAGGCACAGCTGCCAATGGACCCATCGCACAGTTACTCCTTTAGTACATTTGCCTCATGCTGAGTTGAAATCTTGGGTGCATTCCAATACCCCCACCACCCCCCATCACCCACCCAGAAGCATGTGGAGGAAAGGAGGAGTCGCCACGAAAACTGCACCAGCCAATCCGTTTCTCCTGTCATCAAAATTGATGTCCCTGACCGATACCGAAGATATCTAAGCCAATCACAATTGTCATCCATCGCCAGCATTTCCATGCATTAAAATATAAATGTTAGTTACTCTCATTGTGCTGTTTGGAGTCATGATTTGACATAAACTTATGTACAAAGAAATCACTAAAACCTGCTGCCCTTTCAAATAATTTCTTGCAACTTTTTCTTGCGTGGGTGGATAATATAGCTGATTTACTATGACAAAGTAAAAAAAAAAAGAATATTCTAATATTCTAAAATCTAATATTTTTCTGTCAACCCATTTTTTTTCAATTTTAGAGGTAAGACTATGACGAGGTGACCGAGTGGTTAAGGTGATGGACTGCTAATCCGTTGTGCTTTGCACGCGTGGATTCGAATCCCATCCTCGTCGGATGTCCTTTCTGTTCTCCAGTTTTTGCATGCAGTAAACGCCATCCGGTAAGCATGGTGGAAAAGCATAAGCAGACACCCATCCTGAGCTGACGATCCATGCCTCCTCCACACCCTTCTCCCCTCACAGCGCCCCATTGAGTAAAGTCATTGCAGTTCTTGCCTTAAACAGCAGCTCTGTTAACTTTTGGGGAGGGCTATGTTGCTGCACAAGGATTATGGTGCCTAAGGTCAAATCTTATATGTTTCAGGTGGCAAAGTCAAAGTTTTAAGCTCCTCCCAAGAGAAAAAGTCACATTTAATGCCATGTGTCCCACCGTCAGCAACTGCTGACAAAGTCACCATTGAGAGACGGGCGTTGTTTTGTCTCTCTCCTTGATGTGGTACAAGCACTTTCCAGGGAAGTCCTTGAGAGTGATGAAAAACAGGTCCAGCTGAGGGTGGCAATAGTGGGATTTGAACCCACACCCCCAAAGAGACTGGTAGCTAAAATCCAGCACCTTGGACCTCTCGGCCACACCACCAACAAGAAAAGGCCATAATTCCTCAAACATGGTTACCTGTGATTTACATTTCCTATTCAGTCGATGTGGAAAGCGTCGCCAAGCAGCCCGCCAGCATCTTGGATTTTTTGTTCCGCCTCTGTCCTAGGCGTCTACATGTCTGACTTTCCTGGGAGGACCAACACCACCACAGTCCTACTTGCCTGCTCAAATGCATCTGGATGGGAACACCGAAGGAAAAGGAGGCACTGAAAAGATGATTTCATGGCTCGTTGGTCTAGGGGTATGATTCTCGCTTTGGGTGCGAGAGGTCCCGGGTTCAAATCCCGGACGAGCCCACATGCTTGCGGAAGTTGTTGGCCTTGGCGGTCAGGCACAGCTGTCAATGGACCCATCACAGAGTTACTCCTTTAGTACATTTGCCTCATGCTGAGTTGAAATCTTGGGTGCGTTCCAATACCCCCGCCCCCCTCCCCACTCCCCCATCACCCACCCAGAAGCATGTGGAGGAAAGGAGGAGTCGCCACGAAAACTGCACCAGCCAATCCATTTCTCCTGTCATCAAAATTGACGTTCCCAACCGATACCGAAGATATCTAAGCCAATCACAGTTGTCATCCATCCCCAGCCTTTTTCATGCATTAAAATCTAAATGTTAGTTTCTCTCATTGTGCTGTTTGGAGTCAGGATTTGACATAAACTTATGCACAAAGAAATCACTAAAACCTGATTTACTCTCACAAAGTAAAAAAATTGAATATTCTAAAAATTATATTCTAATATTCTAAAATCTAATATTTTTCTGTCAACCCATTGTTTTTCAATTTTAGAGGTAAGACTATGACGAGGTGACCGAGTGGTTAAGGTGATGGACTGCTAATCCATTGTGCTTTGCACGCGTGGGTTCGAATCCCATCCTCGTCGGCTGTGCTCTCTGTTCTCCAGTTTTTGCATGCAGTAAACGCCATCCGGTAAGCATGGTGGAAAAGCATAAGCAGACACCCAACCTGAGTTGACGATCCCTGCCTCCTCCACACCCTTCTCCCCTCACAGCGCCCCATTGAGTAAAGTCATTGCAGTTCTTGCCTTAAACAGCAGCTCTGTTAACTTTTGGGGATGGCTATGTTGCTGCACAAGGATTATGGTGCCTGAGGTCAAATCCTATGTGTTTGATTGTTTGACCAGGGTTGGTTTTCTGTGGTTTGCTTGTGGCTTAATATTAAAGTG